TGTGTCTGTGTGTGTCTCTGTGTGTGTCTCTGTGTGTGTCTCTGTGTGTGTGTCTCTGTGTGTGTCTCTGTGTGTGTCTCTGTGTGTGTCTGTGTGTGTCTGTGTGTGTGTGTCTGTGTGTGTGTCTGTGTGTGTGTGTCTGTGTGTGTTTGTGTGTGTGTGTGTCTGCGTGTGTGGTGTGTCTGTGTGTGTGTGTCTGTGTGTGTGTCTGTGTGTGTGTGTGTCTGTGTGTGTGTGTCTGTGTGTGTGTGTCTGTGTGTGTCTGTGTCCTGTGTCTGTGTGTGTGTGTGTGTCTGTGTCTGTGTTGTGTGTGTCTGTGTCTGTGTGTGTGTGTCTGTGTGTGTGTCCTGTCTGTGGTGTCTCTGTGTTGTCTCTGTGTCTCTGTGTCTCTGTGTCTCTGTGTCTCTGTGTCTCTGTGTGTCTCTGTGTGTCTGTGTCTGTGTCTCTGTGTCTCTGTGTCTCTGTGTCTCTGTGTCTCTGTGTCTCTGTGTCTGTGTCTCTGTGTCTGTCTGTGTCTCTGTGTGTCTGTCTGTGTCTCTGTGTGTCTGTGTGTGTGTGTCTGTGTGTCTGTCTGTGTCTGTCTGTGTCTCTGTGTGTCTGTGTGTCTGTGTGTCTGTGTGTCTGTGTGTCTGTGTGTCTGTGTGTCTGTGTGTCTGTGTCTGTGTGCCTGTGTGTGTGTGTCTGTGTGTCCTGTGTGTCTGTGTGTCTGTGTGTCTGTGTGTCTGTGTGTCTGTGTGTCTGTGTGTCTGGTGTGTCTGTGTGTCTGTGTGTCTGTGTGTCTGTGTGTCTGTGTGTCTGTGTGTGCCTGTGTGTCTGTGTGTCTGTGTGTGTGTCTGTGTGCCTGTGTCTGTGTGCCTGTGTGCCTTGTGTCTGTGTGCCTGTGTGCCTGTGTGCCTGTGTGCCTGTGTGCCTGTGTGCCTGTGTGCCTGTGTGCCTGTGTGCCTGTGTGCCTGTGTGCCTGTGTGCCTGTGTGCCTGTGTGCCTGTGTGGCCTGTGTGTCTGTGTGGCCTGTGTGTCTGTGTGGCCTGTGTGTCTGTGTGTCTGTGTGTCTGTGTGTCTGTGTGTCTGTGTGTCTGTGTGTCTGTGTGTCTGTGTGTCTGTGTGTCTGTGTGTCTGTGTGTCTGTGTGTCTGTGTGTCTGTGTGTGCCTGTGTGTCTGTGTGTCTGTGTGTCTGTGTGTCTGTGTGTCTGTGTCTGTGTGTCTGTGTGTCTGTGTGTCTGTGTGTCTGTGTGTCTGTGTGTCTGTGTGTCTGTGTGTCTGTGTGTCTGTGTGTCTGTGTGTCTGTGTGTCTGTGTGTCTGTGTGTCTGTGTGTCTGTGTGTCTGTGTGTCTGTGTGTCTGTGTGTCTGTGTGTCTGTGTGTCTGTGTGTCTGTGTGTCTGTGTGTCTGTGTGTCTGTGTGTCTGTGTGTCTGTGTGTCTGTGTGTCTGTGTGTCTGTGTGTCTGTGTGTGTGTGTGTCTGTGTGTCTGTTTGTCTGTGTGTCTGTGTGTCTGTGTGTCTGTGTGTCTGTGTGTCTGTGTGTCTGTGTGCCTGTGTGCCTGTGTGCCTGTGTGCCTGTGCGCCTGTGCGCCTGTGCGCCTGTGCGCCTGTGCGCCTGTGTCTGCGCCTGTGTCTGCGCCTGTGTCTGCGCCTGTGTCTGTGTCTGTGTCTGTGTCTGTGTCTGTGTGTCTGTGTCTGTGTCTGTGTCTGTGTGTGTCTGTGTGTGTGTCTGTGTGTCTGTGTCTGTGTGTCTGTGTCTGTGTGTCTGTGTCTGTGTGTCTGTGTCTGTGTGTCTGTGTGTCTGTGTGTCTGTGTGTCTGTGTCTGTGTCTGTGTCTGTGTGTGTGTGTGTCTGTGTCTGTGTCTGTGTCTGTGTGTGTCTGTGTGTGTGTGTCTGTGTGTGTCTGTGTGTGTCTGTGTGTGTCTGCGTGTGTCTGCGTGTGTCTGCGTGCGTGCGTGTGTGCGTGTGTGCGCGTGTGTGCGCGTGCGCGCGTGCGCGCGCGTGTGTGTGTGTGTGTGTGTGTGTGTGTGTGTGTGTGTGTGTGTGTGTCAGGGCCCCTTCACAGGAACTCGCGGTCCAGGCACGATCGCGTCGTAGGGGGAAAAAAGAAAAACAGGTCTTTGCCGGTCTTTGGCCGCGGGAGCCCTCGCCGGGCCTCGGGACGGTCAGGAGACGACGCGGGACGAAGGGAATGGGCCCTGGGGAAAGGGTCGGGGGACTTCCCAGGGCCCCGCAGTGAAAAAGTCAAGGCGTCGCATGTGTCTGGCGGGAGGAAATGCCCATTCGGCGGCGAGCGAGGGGGGGCTTGAGAGGGAGAGGGCCTTCTCGGAAGGCGGCGGGGCTTCTCAGAAGCCCTCGAGCCTTCTGAGAGGTTTTCTCTGTGTCTTCGGGGAGGGCTCAGAAAACTGTTCAGTAGGCCGGGGGACTGCCGGGCCTTCTGAGGAGGCCCGCCCTTTCTCATTTCCCCCTCTGGGCGCGCCGCTCAGCCCAGGCCAGCACGCGTCTCGAGGACCGAAGCTCGAAGTTTCCGAGATTCGAGGTTGTCGTGGCTCGGCGGTGCTCCAGCCGCGGGGTGCGCACCAGCGGCTGCGACTCGCCAAGAGCGCTACGGTGGCCGTGATGTTCCAACCCACTGTAGCCTTGATCACCAGAACTAATTTCGAGCACCATGAGAGTACCGAAACTTGATGGTTTTCGCATACCTGGCCCTGGGAGGCAATACTCGTTCGACACTGGTTCGATTCCTTCTTTGGGTGCTCGGAATTGCTTCTGGGATGTGGTCCTTGAGTACGATAGCAGCAACATAACCTGGGGGGGGGCCGGATCGCCCCCGAGCCAGGGCCAGAAGACCACACTTGCTCGCGTCGCCGAGAAGTCGCGGCGGGGAGTTGTCTTCTCTGCCTGCGGCCCCCGGGTGATGGGCCTGTGTTCCACCCACCACCACCACCACCACAATTTGGAGGGGTGGAAGGAGGAGGATGAGGAGGAGGAGGAGGAGGACGAAAAGAAGGAGGATGAGGAGGAGGAGGAGCAGGAGGAGGAGGAGGAGGAGGAGGAGGAGGACCCCCTCCCCCTCCTGTGCATGGTGGTGGAAACAAGCCCAGCAGCGGGGGCCTGGGCCCTGGGGTCAAACAACTCAACGAGTCTGGGTACCAAAGCGGCCCTGGGGAAAGCCAGGGGCGGAGCGGCGTCTCCGAGATGTCTCCCTGTTGGGGTCTCGTGGGAGGCCTCCCAGAGGCCTGCTTGGCGCCCGAAGACTGCTTGGTCCCGAAAGCCATCTCGGAGTGGAGGGTTCGAAATGTCTGTGCGTGGCCCCCTCCTGGGCCCCTCGTGTGGCCGTCTTGTGGGCCTGTTTGGGCCTCTCCTGGGAGGCGTCGGAGCCGTGTTGGGCTGCCTTGAGTGTCTGTTGGGCCGTCTTGGGCGCCCTTAAAGAGCGAAAAGGCGAGCCAGCTAAAAGCATTGGTAAACAGTGTGCTTCAGTGATTTGGGCCTCTTGGGGCGGCTCCCGGAGCCTCCAAGACGGCCCAAGACGGCCCAAGAGGGGCCCAAGAGGGGTAGATTATTAGGCATTCTTGGAAGCTCGAATCCGAGCCGCGCTCCCCGAGGACTCTCAAAATATCACGCTGGCCGCCCTGGACAGCACGAGAAAGCGCTCAACATTTGGACCATGGGCCTGCTTGAAACCAGCTACAGCACCCCAAGCAGGGAACTTGACAGGACCTGAGGACAACCCATTCAGTGCCAGAGGCACGGTGGCGGATTTGCATTACACATTGCCCAATCCGGTCGGAAATTGTTGCTTAGCGTGTCGTGCCGCTGGTTCTATCTCACCACGCTTCGGCGCGACACGCTAACCACGTCCCGGTCCCCTGGCGTCAACGTCCTAGGTTTTTTTCCCATGCTTGCTCCCCTTAGAGCAGAGCAACGCGCTATCAGCCTGCAGGGCGTAGCGTGTCGCTGGAGCCGCCGCCGCGATTCGCCAAGCAAAAGCTCTCGGTAGCACCCAACAGAGAGAACACGACGGGACCTGGGGGCACCCCGCTCAGTACAATGCGCACGGCACGGAGGTCCCCTCCCCCCCTTCTTTCGCAGGCGATCTTTATCCCACGATCCCCGAGTTCCGCCCGAAGAGGTTGGCCGCTCTGGAAAAGGGGGGAACTCGGGGACACACCCCAGTGGGGGCAAGTCGGACGCACCCCCATCGAGGACCGACGCCCCCTCCCCATGGTGTGTCCCAGGGCTGGACCTAAACAGTGTTTTGGCGATTTCGTGGGCCGTTTTCGTTTCGACTTCGTTTTGCGGTAGAAGTTGATTGACGACAAAACGAGGAAAAACGAAAACAGAACGAACACGAAAAACACTGTTCGGGTCAAGCCCTGGTGTGTCCCAGGGCTGAGCCCCAAATCCCTGGCTCCCTTCGAACGCCCCACGGAGCATGGGACAGAGGGGTCAACACACCCCTTGGTCTTCTTCTTCCCCCCGCCGCTCGGACCCCTGGGCAGCCATGCGGCTTCCGCGTCCCGTCGGCCCCCGCCAGCGGGCGGGCGTGGGCGGACAAGGCAGGGGGGGCAGGGCGTTCCCCCGAGCCCCGCGCGCGAGGGGCAGGGGGGAGGTGGAGGACGACAACGAGCTTCTGAGGGTGACGACGACGACGACGACGAGGATGTAGAGGACGACGACGACGACGACGACGACCTCGACGACGACGACCACGACGATGACGACGAGAACGACGAGGACGACGACGACGACGACGACGACGACGACGACGACGAGGACGACGACGACGACGAGGAAGACGACGACGACGACGACGACGACGACGACGACGACGACGACGACGAGGCGCGGAGGGGGGGGCGTTAGGAATCCTTGACGGTGTGCATTTCTCTAGGTGCGCCCTTGCGGGCTTCTCTGCTTCCCCGCCATCCGTTACCCTTCCGGCTCGCCTTGCGCACGCACGGCTTTTCCACGCCGCAGCTTGCTCGTGCGAATTCCGTGCGAGCAACAGCCCCGTCGCCTGTCCAGCAGACGCCGCCGCCTCAGCGCCGCGCGACAACTCTCGATCACCTTTCGACAAGCATCAAGAGTCAGAACAGTACCAACCGCACGGTGGCTTATCTATCTGCGCCCCTAGGATCACCCATGCCCCCTGGGGCGAGTGCGGCGGCAACTCGCCGCCGCGCGGCATGAAGCACCCAGACTGCCGGTGGGCCTGGGAAGGGCTGCCGGACCCGCGCCTCATCGTGGAGGTCGGGGGCAACAAAGGCGACGACCTCAAGAACTTGGCCGCCATGTACCCGGGGGCGCGCATCCACAGCTTCGAGCCGGTCTTCGGCGTCGCCTGGCCTGTCCCCATCCCCACCGGGCCATGGCATCGCATCCCCACCAGCCCACGCTCCCAGCTAGGGGGGTAGGCCCCGCGAAGCTCGGAGGAGCAGGCACATGACCCCACCTGGGTGGGCAAGTCGGCCAGTGGGGCCAAGGCCACGCCAGAGTAGGGATGGGCAGCGGCTTCACGGTGCCCAGGTCGGCATTCACTTTCGGGAGCTCGAGAGGCTCTTCGGGAGAAGTTCCGACCAGGTCGTGCTGCACCACGTCGGGGCGTCGGATTCCGACGCGCGGGTCGCCTTCCGGGTCGACGGCGACGTCGCGGGCTCCTCGCAGTTCGGGCAGGCCCGGAGCGGCCCGACGATCGAGTACGAGAATGTCTCGCTGCGCGACGCGCACGAGCTCTTCCGCGAGGTCGTGGCCAACGAGAGCCGCAGCATCGACGTGCTGAGCGTCAACTGCGAGGGGTGCGAGTACGCCGTGCTTGAGCGCCTGCTGGCCAAGGGGTGGCTGGACCTGCTGAAGGTCGTGCAGGTGTCGTGGCACGCGTCCAGCCAGATCCAGCAGCGGGTGGAGCGGCGGTGTGCGCTCCGGGCGGAGCTGCAGAGGTCAGCCACGCGCAGAGGGGCGTGGGGGGAGGGGGGGGACTTCTTGGAAGCACCCCTGCTTCTTAGAAGGCGCGGGCCCTATCTATAGATGCAAGGCCGGCGCCTTCGAAGAAGCAGCCTCCTTGCAAGAAGCCCTCCCCCCTCCCACCCCCCCCTCGTGCGCGCCGCCACAGAGGCGCCTGAGGCCGCTCTACCAGGCGGACTTCGGCTGGGAGGGCTGGAGCGCGCTGCCCCGGGCCTACGCCGTGGACGAGCGCTTCCTCGGGGAGACCCCCGTGGCCGTCGTCGGCCGCGCCAACGCCATCCCGCAGGCCCAGAGCGACCTGCGCTGTGCCGAGCCCGGCGGCGTGCCCGCGGGAGCCGGCGGACTTGACCACGAGCTGGACCCTCGCCATGAAGCAAGGCTTTTCACCGCTTCGGTCCTCCTCCTCCTCCTCCTCCTTCTCCTCCCCCCCTCCTCCTCTCAGGAAGGAAACACACTAACAGGCGCAATGAATCGTCGATTCCCCAGAACATATGGGAAGTGGGGGGGAAGACAAAAAACAAAGAAAATATTTGAAAATATCGGGAATCCTGTTATTTGTGTGTATTTACTTGTGTCTCCCAGGGTCCCTTCATCCTCGCCTTCTTCCTCCTCATCCTCCACAAGTTGATTGGGGACGCCAGAAAACGATTCAGGACCAAGATCTGGTACCGGGGGGTGGGGGTCCGGGGTACAGCTTTGGGCCGGACGAAAGGGTAGGGTAGGGAAAGGGGGAGGGTACGAAATCTACTGCATGCAGCTGGTTTCGGCCCCGCTTCCGGGCCCATGGGGCGCCTCCCAGCGTCAGGAGGCGCCAGGAAAACCAGCTACGTGAGCGGATTCTCGCCCCTACCCTGTGCTATCCGACCCCGTCGTTCAAAGAGAAGAAAAATACACTGCTGGCGGACCGCGCTGGACCATCCTGGCGGTGCCTCCGGCGCCGCCCCTGGCGCGCTCCGGAGAAGGGTCCGGCGCGGATCCAAGAAATCCGCGCGGACCGTCGAAAGTTGATGTTTATGTAGTTGATCTTTCTTATATTCTATTTATTTTCTTGGCTAACCGCGAAGGGTCTTCAATCCCAGTAATATTTAGGAGCTCCACCAGCGGCCGCCGCGGGAGAGGAATTGTTCTTCCCGGTATCGCTCTCGAGCCCACTCCACCACGAAGCCCGCGCCAAAGATGAGGCCCGGGTATGACAGGCCCTCCTCGTGGCGGGTTGTGACGGGCCCTTCCTGGGTTGTCCTACCCCTTCCGAGGATAAAGGAGCCCAGAGCCCTTCACAAAGTGAAGACGTGGCTTCATGTAGCTCCTTGTCGCTGCATCAGGGAGTGTAGATCTGGGCGGCTTGGTTTGACACATCTGCAGAAGAGACCTCCTATCCCTAACTCGTTTTGACCCTTCGAACTTGGACCCCTTCTCAAAGGGATAACTCGGGGTTCGCTTATTGCTATAGTAAAGACCAAACGCTCTGCTTGCCTCCAGGGTGCCCTAGATTTGTTGAGCTTCGATGGCTTTGCGATGGGAAGCGTGACATCCCCTCGCCAAAAGTGCGTGGACGTCCTGGGGTCTCAGGGCTGGGCTTCTTATGGAGAGTTTCCTGTGGACTGGCCGTCACTGGAATTGAAGCAGTGACGAAGCGTCCTGGCGTGCCTATCGCCCCACCAAACAATGTTCCAAAGAACCATCTGTGGCTCTCGTAGAACATTCCTGGTTGGGACTGTCTTGTTTTATCGCATCGGGTTTATGTTCTAAGAACATTGTTTTTGTTATTGGAACATTTTTGGGTTCTGAGAACATGTCGTGGTAGGACTATAGGAATGCCAGGACGGTCGGTCCCTGCTCAAGTACTCGAGGGGACCAGCCTGCGCCGCTGGAGAGGACCCGCACCCGTCGCACCTGACCTGGCCGCAGACGGCCCTCGGCGACGTGGCCTGCGAGGTGCTCAGCGGCCGGTCCTTCCGGGTCCCCCCGGGCGCCGCGGGCGACGGCCCGGTCGTGGTCGAGGCCTGCGGGTACACCTCAGAGGAGGCCAGCCACGACTGGGGGAGCTGTGGTCCTCACCCCCCTGGGGGAGCCATCGATTTCGACACCCCCTCTCGAGAGATCGTCAGTGCGATGGGCCCCCCAGGGGGGTAAGGACCACAGCTCCCCCAGTTGTGGCTGGTCGGCAGAGGAGGACGGAGTACCCCTGCCCCGAAGAAGAAACCGCACAAACTTTTGGCGCTCCGCGCGGGTTTCCTAGATCCGCGCTGGGCCTCCCTGGGCGGCGCCTCCGGCGCCGCCCCTAGCGCGCTCCGCGCGCCAGGGAGGGGGGTCCAGCGCGGATCCAAGAAATCCACGCGGAGCGCCAACAGTTTATGTTTATGCCGTTTTGTTTTTTTGTTCTTCTTCTTCTTCTTCTTCTGATACCGCTACCTTTGCCTCGTTTTCGCCTTCTCGGGCCTCCTCGGCAGCCCTCGTCGTCACCGTTGGATTCGCCTCGAAATCCTGGTCCGAACGCACCCCCAAAAAGGTCCGGGTACTTCAGAGTTGTATGCGTATCCTTCGGGTGTTGCTAGTTAGATGTGCCCCCGGGCCAAGGTGCCCCCAGAATTTCCGAGGAAGCCCCCACGGCCTCCAGAGCACCCCTCGCAAGGTTCAGAGTGGCTCCAGAATTGAGCGAAGAGCTGAGGGCACCTCAGGCCAGGGGCACCTTTAGCAACCCCCGAATCCAGTGCGTTTCATACTTTCGGACCCCATTCCTCAGAAGCCCAACAAATCGGCGGATAAAGGTAAGGCCTGGCCTTTGCATCGAGGCCAGGCGCTTGTCCACAGCATCTGCGCCTCGGGTTCTCCGGCATCCATTCCCCCGAAATCCAAGACTCCGTGGATCTGGGCACACCAAAGACGCAATTACATCTGCCTCTGCCCCCCACCATGAAAAAAGGGGGAGGGGCGGGGGCCCGCCCTGATTTTTTTTGGGGGGGGGCACACCAAAAAACTAAAAACGGCATTGATTCTGTTTGGGAGGAGGAGGAGGAGGAGGAGGAGGAGGAGGAGGAGGAGGAGGAGGAAGCCCTCGGGGAAGCACCCGCCGACCTTGACATGAACACTTTGGTTGTCCGTGTGGTCGGTTTGGCCGTTTGGGACGCTCGCATCGACCGCGGCCGCGACCAGCACCGAGCCGGCTTCGGTGTGCTGGTGACTGCCGGCGTGCGCAGGGCATGCCCCGGGGTGTGTCTGCGATGCGGCTGTGGTCGTCCGATGCCCCCGCAGCGGAGGTCGCGACTCCCGCTCGAGGGCAACGAGGCTTCCTTTCGCCACGGCAGGGTGCGGGCGCCCCCCGCCCCCCCCCTCCAGAGGAGGAGGAGGAGGAGGAGGAGGAGGAGGAGGAGGAGGAGGAGGAGGAGGAGGAGGAGGAGGGGGAGTGTCCAGTTCACCTATGATGATATGCATTGCAGTAACGCAGTGCAGTGTATGATTTGTGGTGATTCGATGTACGTGTGCTGACGCACACGTGAGCTCGCACCGACGCCGTTACGGAACAATTATCGAGAGGCCCTTGACTCAATCAAAACTACGAGCGACTCTCTTCGATTCCCTTCTACTTCATATTTGGTGCGTTTGGTCCTTTACTTCGTGTAAGAGATCTTCGGTGGTCCCAAAGGACTGCCACCGACATTGGTAGCGGAGCCAGTGGCTTCCGATCCGCGGCAAAAACAAACGGAGACCTTGTTCGTGGGAGACCTTTGGCCCCACAGACACGATGAGGCCTGCCGGTCCCGCTGCTGGGCCGAGCGGCCCGCGACCTCCCGGTCGAGGCGGAGGCAAGGGCAAGCCTGGTGATGGCCATGCGGATCAACCCGGAGACGGAGTTCCGCTCGATGACGGCGACACGGAAAGCGATCTGCGGGACAGAAGCCGAGACCACGGTCACGACAGAGGCGAAAGGCAGCCACAGATGGACGCTGGATTAGCGAATTGTTGCCCGGACGCGACAGACTTCAGGCACGACGCGTGTCGCAACTTCCGGAGAAGAGCGACGGTGTTCCAGCGACTGTGTCAACGCCGATGTGACCCAGTGAGGGCGCCTACCTCATGCCGCGGGCGCTGCGGGGTGATACCTGGGACGCCTGTGAGAGCATTAGCTTCGAGAGGATGGACACGTCCGAGGCGTTCGTGGAGATCTGCGGTAAGCTGGATGTGCTGTACCGATACACTCAGGAGGTGGGTTTGCACGGGAGATGCGACGCGTTTTTAGGAGAGTTCGCGAGGCTACCGAGGGAAACGTTGAGCGCGCACGTGCTTCGACATGGCCAGGAACTGCCGAAGCTACGCGAAGTAGGGTTGGACTTGCTGGGCCTGCTTGCAGGTCGGCACATGATAAGACATATTCCGAACATGAAAGCGTTGTGCAATAATAAGCTCACGGTCAAGGTGGTGACGGAGCCACTCAAGACGATGTTCGGCGGCGACAGCACGGCGCATTGAAAGGATATCGAGCGAGTGACGAACGCGCACCGAAGCAAGAGCCACGAAAGTGGCGACAGCTACTGAGCCGAAGAGGATGACGACAACACTTACTGGCACGAGGACGACGCCGCAGAGGACCGGTATTACGAGGAGGATGACTGGTACGAGGACGACGAAGTGCCGATCCCAGAGGAGCCCCAGGACGCGTGCGAAGCGACAAAGGAGGCCTTCGCGAACTATACGGAGGCCCGTGCGAAGATGAGAGATCTGGCGACGGCGAGAGGATTCTACCCGGCGGTGAGGCTGATGGGCGATCGACGAGGATGATCGCTACCACGGACTGGCAACATGCGGCCACCGAAAGGACGAGGGCGAGCGAGCTCGGGATACGGCAAATTACGCGGCAACCAAGCAAAGGAAAGGCAAAGGCATATACGGCGGCAGAAAACCACATGGTGGTAGAGGTTCAGCCAAGGGTGGACGACACAGACGGCTCGCCTGAGATGACGACCGACTCAGCAGCACGGACCACGGTTCAAGCGACGAAGAGATGGCGCAGCTGCCGATGGGCCAGAAGACTTGAAGATGTTGCGCGAGATACGCGGTAATATAACGACGAGAGAGGTTGCGCCGAGCCCCGAGACGGCGACGGCGGAAGAAGTGAACTTGGCTACGGGCAAAGGAGTCGGCGACAGTGGAGCAACAAGGCAAGTTGTTCTGTTTCGAGGAGTGGCCTGTCTGGCGCAAGAAGCTTCAGAAGACGGGCCTTTCCAGTAAAAACGAGATGGGAAGATGCCGCGAGACAATGCGATTCGGTCTCGACGAGACCTCGACGGCGAAGCAGCGGGTGACGTTCCTGGCCTGGGTGAGGGGTGCGAAGAGGCAGATCTAGGTCTACCTCGTTCCAGGCCGAGTGTCTCTGCTGGTGGCGAGGCCTTGTTTCGAGGAGTTGGTCATGGTGGTCGACGACCGCAACGTGGAGGCGATGCACCTGGACGAGCAGCCACCAGGGTGGACCGACCCGGAGACGAATCAAAACGGACACATGGCCATCAATATGCCCAGCTTCCCGTCCGACGCGCTAGCAGCAGACGCGGAGCTGCGCGGGCGCGGACGCCGACGGCGACCGAGGTGGAAAGCAAGAAGGAGACGGTCTTCTTCGTGACCAGCAGTTGTGGCGGCGCTGACATCGACAACGCGGGGACCACGGAATTTGATGCGAAGCAGCAGGAGGACTGGCCCGCAGAGGCCAACCGCACGCTGCGCAACAAGCCGAAGGCACAGAAGGGGGGTGGGGGGATCCTCGCGCCAGAAGGGCGCGCTGCGCAGTTTGCGGAGAAGCGCGGCGATTTCAGGGCGGGGGAATTTACCTTGGAGACGGGCTGGGGCTTCACGAACGGCTCGCACGGCAAGGCTCTCGTGTGGGGCCGATGAAGGAGAGGCCCGATGATAGGCGGGTGGCAACTTGCATGGCATGGTCTACGATAAGCGCGCTGGCGGAAATAAACAAGAGCAACGATGGCCGACAGGAACGACGTCGAGAGCGCGCCAAACAGCAGCGAGAGTTCCTGAAGGTCAGTCGGGAGATCTACGAAGCGCGGCAGCAGACGGAGCGCGCGCATTAGGAGCACCCTCGATGCGCGACGTAATGGGACAGCGAAGTGTGGGGCGGCATGGCGGGTTACGACGCGTTCGTGGACCAGTGAGCCTACGCGCTCATGACACTGGACCCGGCAGGGCGGAGGCTCGGCCCGATCAGGGATCCGACCAACGGCAGGGCCACTAAGGTCAAGATGTACGAGGGATTCCCGAAGACGCGCAGCTGCACGGAGAAACGCGTCTCGAGGGCGGACGCCACGCGCGCGACGCGGAGAACTAACCGAGGAAGATGTCGTTCCAGCCGGCGATCTGCATCGCGGATGACCCGAAGAACGAGGCCAGCTACGCGGTGGAAGGGGTGACCCAGGAGGACTTCGACAAGACCGGGTACAAGATGGCGTGGAAGGCGCTGCTGGAGAAGTTCACCATCGAAGAGGTCGAGTGGGGCGAGAAGGTCCACGTCCAGATGGGCGGCCCCTCGAGCGAGGCGTCGGCAGAAGCATTGAAGGAGATGAACGCAGACGACCAGTGGATCAGCTGTGCGAGGATATTCATGCATATGTGAGACACCTCAAGAGGGAGAGGCCAAAGTCAGTGCGAGTCGCCCGCGTCCGGCGGGGTCGAGGATCCAACGACGCCGCGGACATCGACGCGTTCCATGCGGCGTGGGAGGACATGCGCATAATGAGATTCACCATCGTTGACGAGAGCGCAAGGTTCGAGCCCGTTCGGAAAACCTCCCGGCGATCACGAGCGCGATCGGGCCCGGCCCCCCCCCCCCCCCCCTTCTCACGTCACGGCGGTCGTCCGGTGGCGACCGCGGGCGTCCTGTGGCGCTCTCAGGCTACTGTGGTGTTTAGAGGCACATTGTTGTGCTCTCAGGGACGTTGTGGTATTTGCGAAGGGAAGCGGTTGCGTGCGTGCCGCGTGGTGCTCTCAGGGACGCAGTTTTG